AGGGGGGGGGGGTCGGTTACTTATTCCAGGCTTTGATACCATACTAGGGGATGGTACCAGCATCCCTTATACAGCCAAGATATCCATCAAATATCCATATAGGGCCAAGAAAGACATCAGCTGGTATCATGCGTGACCCCAACCTTTTTTTTCTTCTTCAAGAGGTCACGAGGTCACGCAGATCAATCTAATCAATTTTCTAGTAATTACAGCCGAAGCCCCATTCGGTACGAGATAAGCAGTTCCGCATAAATGACGACAACGATGCGCGACCTACCCCCCTCTCTCACTCTCGCTACCCCCCTTCTTACACCCCCTGCAACCCTGTACTCGTTCCCGCCTGGCATTACCTAACCCTCCTTTCCAACCCCCCCCCGACTGATGCAGTCACGTTCTCACGTACACGTGTGCATCGTTTCCCATCTACCCCTACGTTTAGCCCCGTCAGTCACTATCTACTCGTTCTCTTCGTCACCATCCGCCTGAAACTCGCGTCGAGCCTGAAGATTCTTCATTGAGCTTTCTCACACGTGACTCCCGCCGCGCCTGCCGACGGCAACTTTTCAGATAGCGTCCCCGATATTCCACTTTGGTTTACATAAAACTTACCCGCTTTTCGTTATCACTGAAACACGTTGCTTGCTCCGAGAGAAATTCTACGTGCGATCGCGTAAATCGTCTTCTGGATTCGAAGTGTTCCCTTATTCCCTTTTCTACCCCTCTGTCACTCTGTCAACCTAGAACATACTTAACTCGAGAAATTTTACCCTATGAATTTATATGTTTGATTATACATTGAATAATTATTAAATGCAGTTTTCTCATATACACAAAATTGCATCCTTCATTAATTTCATTGATAGTGATTAATTAACATTGATTATGATAATTAAAAACTTTGAATGCTTCGGACCTGTGTGATTTATGGTATTACGTGACGTGATGTTCGATAGTTATTACCGTGATTGAATTTTAGACTGATAATAGGAAATCAGTCGGGATTTTGATATTTACCGGTGAGAAGGATGTTGCCGGAGAGCGGGATTTTTGAAAATCTATATATGATCGTGGACGTTGATTCTGGTTATTGTACAGTGAGGTAATGAAAGTTTAAATTTATTATAATGAATGACGTTCTTTTTGGATTCTGTTGAAGTACTCTGAATCCTTATCGTGTTATACAAACATGCATACCTGGTCTACTTAAAGCACCTACAATAACAATGGATTCATTGATAAACAAATCCGTAAAACGACTCTCTGCCAGCTAATTAATTCATCGCCATTTTCCTGTTTTCTCATTAAAACCGTTTCTACGTTTTGCATCGTAGACTGGGCATTTGCCCCCGATAAGAAAACTCATCCTGTTATGCTAGAAACACTTAACCACGTCGTCTACGAGATTTTCCTACCCGCTGTCGTTTACTTGTTTTATCGTCGAACGGTGAAACTTTAAGGCTCGTCGCATTTACATCACCACTCTGGATTAAAAGTGTCATCCGAGAACCGAGATAACAGTAAAGACGAGCAATCTTAAAATGATGAAGGAATAAATCAAAGTTTCATCGTTACGAGAATTTCATTAGGACGACGTAATCTTTCGTGTTATTCAAAGTAATGAAATTAATGAAGTTTCGTCGTGTTCCTACACGGAGCATCGGAGTTGCTCGAATTTTTGCTATTTTCTTCCTGATAATAGAAAGAACGAAATTCGTTGTTGTGAGAAATAACAATATCGATTTGTAACAGTGATAACGAAATAAAAGTAAACGACAGCGGGATCAATAGAATTCGTATTTGAGAGAATCGAATGGACCATTCTCTGTATGGCTGTTGAACGTATAATGAAAGACATAAATTCGAAGCTCCCTCGTTATTGGTTTCATATACGTGGTTACGCTGCTGTCCTTGTTTTAACTAACGTCGATCCCCACACTTGGACTATTGTCCATATACGTTCAATATACGAAACGTACCTGTGAGAGCGTTCGAAAAGAAGGTCAAGATGACGGAAGCCTGATAGGCGACGGCCGTCACGATTTTTATCGGATACAGAAACGCCTCTTGACTGGCTCGTTGAAAATCTGTGTCAAACTTCATTACGACTACTAGGGCTGTGGAAATAGAGTTTGCGCGGTGTCGCGATAACGTACGTATACGTACGCATACGGGGCGACATTCTTGTAGATTTATTTAATTAAAAGTTCAATTGAAAATTTTATTCTCGGTTCCACGTTGCGGGTTTTTCTAATTTAGTTTACAATCAGTGATGCTGCGCGTCGGTCGTGATTCTTTTTGCTACTTGCTTGGATTTTTTTTGTTTTTTTTTTTTTTACAAAAATTTCGAAATCATGCCAAAGCGAATGTCATATTTCAACGGATACACTTGGTGTAACTGGAATATATCAGGAGGCTGGAATATAAAAATATCGAATTTGAAAAAAAAATTTGATCACTATTTCTTGAATTTATTCTTCTTTAGAATTTGTTTTTTAGCTAAGGGCTTTCACGAGGTGGATTAATCTTGATATCGTTTCGAAGCGATCTAAAAGCCATTGCAGTACGTTATGGCTTTCGAGGGAGTTATTCTGCACACGGTATATACTCCAATCTTCGAATAAACTATTCCCATCGCGTAGAATGGTCTACACGTGAAGTAGCTCAGTGTTGTTTTGTCGTTTCATTATTGACGGAATAGGAAGCGTCTGAAGAAAAAAGAGAAAAGGAAAAAATGCACCGACTGTAACATCTGAGTACCTATCCTACTATAGTGATACGCATAACGGAACACGTGGCTGCAAAATGACAATATCGCGAATACATATTTTTCCCTCTAATATCAGAAAACGTTAAACATTTTATGTTAATGTCAGCCACTTACGTTGGAAAGTACTGAAATACGGTAACGCGCAAACATAATTGCAGTGCTTTTACAGTCCAATGGAAATCCGCCAAGTTTCCATAATCCGGATATCGTTCGCTTGTATCACGCATATTTATCGATTTCTTTTTTGAAAATCCGGATTAGAAAATTTAAAAAGATTAAAAATCATTTAAAAATTTTGTATGCCGTTAACAATTATTTTCTGGATTTTCATTATGATCAGTGGAAAAGTTAAATGTATTTAACCTATTAGTAATTTTAATGATAAAAAAACTCTACTACAGTACTAGACCAGATAACGAAATCCTAAACGTACTTTTTTTCTCTCTACATACGCATATAGTATACACATGTGGAAACAGAAATAATGGTTGGATGTCAAAGCGCTGCATATCTTTGAATGACGTATTGGAATATTTGCATCATGGCATTCAAGTATACGTGTCACTCCAGTCGCTTTGCTCTGTGCCAAAATTCTCACTTCCCCTATAGAAGCTGTTTCCTCTTTGAAGGAACTGCGAGTATAATTTTAGACGGGAAGTATTGCAGACTATAGCAAAGTTACGGTGGATATGATTCTCTCGCTACTATACATATTTCTACATATGCTCAGAGCTCGTCGAACATTCGCAAACACCAAACAGGAGGTTAGATCAAATATAAATTCGTATCCACGATTTCTCATTCATTTTAGTTCACTCCTACGCCGCAATTGGCGCGCGGATCGTAACGTACGAATGTCGCACTTCCCTCGGGAAACCTCAACAAATTTCGGTCAACTTTCATTTGGCCATTTTCATCATTTTAACGAACGCTTGCCAGCCACTCCAACAATTTGACTGATTGTTACACTGTTTTTTTTTCCCTTTCTTTGCACTGGGGAAATATACTGGGGGAATTCTCCGAACAGATTTATAATTTCGCGTTTCACGTATTCTGAATGTCGATCCCTACTTTCTTCTCTTTTTTTTTTTATTTCATTCTTCACTCAGACTGCTCTCGATTGAGGACTGAGGATTGATTGCCTGGCCACTGTCGTGGACAATGGTGCTACAGTGAAATTAATGCAGGAGGGAACCATTATGAAGTGATCTAGGGAATACCGTGGGAAAATGCCTGGCTTAACGGAAGAATAAATTGCATAGGAATAATCGACGATTTCTTTCGGATAATTAATAGATGATTAAATTAATAGCTTGGACATGGGAATTAGGAATGGCAGATACGGCGAATTCACGACTTTGCAATTTTTCACATGGCTGTGATTTTCACTGTCGGTCGGGTCAACGATTCATCTTTGGTTACGCGTGAGATCAGGTATGCGTCGGTTTTTTTTCTTCCTATCCCGACACATCACATAGTAACTTTTTAACGTGTCGAATACGTAAATAGGATGTTGGAAAAACGAAAGTAAAAAAATTTTCGTTCAGTGTTATCAATATTGCAAATATAGTAATTTACTTTCTTGGAAAGGCTATTTTTTTTTTTTTTTACTAAAAACTCACATATATTATCATAACGTATAATTTTTATAATTTCGAGTCAGACCTCACGCCTATGGAACATAGGGAGATTGTAAGTAAAATTAACTCACATGGACTATACATTAATTGTCACTAAGCACTTTGTATTTTTCTGTTTAATTACCTGCAACTATGGTAGCGAGTTCCCCATTGTAATTTCACTGGCACGATGACACCCGAAAAACAGTACTTTGCAGTCACTGATTAGCACATTGACATTTTTTTCATCCACGCACGACAATTAGTATACAGTATGATTTATTCCGAATGCATTCAGTGTACCGCGTGAAGAACGTTGATTCGATGCTTCGCGACGTACTGATCTAAATTTGTCACAGGGTATAGCTTAAATACATCGCGAGCGTTGGCTGTTGGTATTCAGGCTCGAAATAACCATAAGACACGATTTTCTATCTGGCAACGATGGCGGTTCTATGCTGTGGCATAGTGATTGCGTAACGAACGAAATTTCGGTTCGTTGATCGAATTTTCAGGAAGCGCACCGAGCGACAAAATGTGGGAGACATAACAGAACTTTTACCTCGGCTGTGAATTCGAGTCCGCTGAAAGTTTCGTCAAAGAAGTCGGAATTACTTTGGAAAAGTTCGGAGATGAGATGCGCAGCCTCCCTTGCCGCTCTCTGTAAAATCATTTAAATATTCCGCGAGAAATGCCCGTCTACTATCTACCGTGCCAATCGGATTGCCATTCCAAGATTCCTGAATTTCTTTCTTTTTTAGTTGCTCAATTACGTTTCGCGGTACCCGAGGACGTGTCGTCAAGAAATGCGAGGCGTTTGTTAAAAAAAAAAAAAAAAAAAAATACTAAATATTTTGCAATGTACCCTGCAAGTCATTCATATCTTTCAGGCAGTTTTAATATTTTGTTTCTCGTTTATGCGAATTTACTAATTTCAGAGCGTGTTACGTATACGTCGATCATCGAAAGAAGTCGGTGCACATAGATACGAAAATGAATATTGAAACCGTGAAAGAGGCATGAACGACGGGCAATGTACGTGCCTTAAAGAACCACCCAATTATTGTGACAATGTCAGTTGATTTTCGTTGATGCGATTTGCTACCCCTCCAAAAATTCATGGACGTATCTGCATAGCACACGAAATTCCATAGAGTCATTTATTACCAAACGATGGGTATTCTTTTGGAATCGAATTGGCGCAGAGAATAATGTCTTTTTAGATGACTAATGACTTTCTCGGCTACGAAGGGTGAAACGAGGAATCACTTTTTCCTTGAATTTTAATGAATACTGGGTTAAAAATTAGAGATTGATTTTGTGGTATATAGATTTTTCATAATGACAATAAACCAAAATCGATATGCCGTATGAGCATAATATTTCGAAACATAAAAAAAAAGCCGAGTGTTTTCCTCGCTCCTATAGGATGATATATCGACGCAGGAATATGAAAGTTCCTTGCTGGATTTTTACGACTTCCGTTTCTATCCACGCAATAAAAGGCCATGTTTGACGTAAGCTCTACGTTAAGCAGCGAAAGCTTGGAAAATCTTATTCGATATATAGCTATTCTAATGTTTTACCTCGCTACGGAATTTCAATTCGAGGCACACGCTCGACCTGAGTTACGGCGCGGTGTGAACTCCTCGTAAATCGCGTAAAGGCTCGTTCTCAATTTTACTGGTATTACGTCGCTTCTGGAAGACGCGAAACGTCGCGGCGAAAGGGTAGCGTCGACGGGGACGCGCATAGGTCCAGATGCATTAGTAAGCAGGCTGACTTATTTTTAGATGGACTTTTGTGAAAGGCCCGAATCACGCAGCGAGACGCGGCGACGACGTGTTCTAAAATGGTGTTAGGTGGAATGAGATGGAGCGACGTGGAACCATGAGGTGGTATGGACTGGGAGTAAAAAGCCAGAACGAAGCGAACGAAGAATAATAAATGGTGGATCTTCGGCACGGCGAACGAAAAAGCTTCTATGTTAATTAAATTTGTCTACTTTTTATAGTCGCATTGGCTGCCACCTCGTCCAGTCCCTTTCCCCTCTCGTTCCTTCTCTTTGGGGCTTTCTCGTCCGTTAATACTTTCATACGTACGCTGTCAGAAAGTGCATGGGAAAGAGCGATAATGGAGTTTATTACTATGGCGCATTTCAGAGCGTCCGTGACCTATTAAACGATTTCAATTTTCTTTTTTTTTTTTCTTCTTTTTGCTCTCCGATGCTGAAAAATGCATTATTCTTCACCAGAAATGGGATTCGGGAATGCATGAGGCGTGTCTAATAGCGAATGTCACTTTTATCATTTCGAATGGCGTTCCCATCCCTTTCTGGGGCATTTAGGCTCCCAAATGGATAAATCCGTAATACGCAGACGGACCATTAAATTGTAAATCGTTGAAACAGCCTCGTTCCCAGAACGGCGGCGATTAATATTTCGCGAAAGAGACACGAGATTTCTCGGCGATTTTAATTGTACTTTACAAGCTGTGAGATGCGTGAGTTAATCAGAGAGCTTGTCTGATTAACTGGCTCTTGTGTCTTCAACTGTTCAACAACATTTATGTATTCGCGCTTTCGTCTCTCTTAACACGCCCGTGGAATCTCGTGGAAAGATCTTCATTGTAATTAATTCCGCGTTGTATAATTACGATTTAACCACTCTAGTGTTGTTCACATGGAAATAAGATATGTAATATTACATACGTTTAGGCAGTTTTCAAAATTCTATTTAACTACTTTGTAGCTCTCCGTATTATTTTACCTGTGTATATTTTACGTATATTTTACGTGTGTCTTTTCTCTTTGAATGGCTGTTATTTACTCGATCGAGTAAATTCGGTAATCCTATCTAAAGCTCGTTTCAGTTTTCACGAGTAATATAAGGAATTTTAAGATACCTAGAGTTACGAGTTTTTCCTTTCCTCCTGGATCTCTTGTTCTCTCGTTCCACTGTGCTCGTCGAAAGAGGCCTACAAAAATGAAGGTTGTAATAAGTTGAGATGCTTTGCATAATTTTCGAAGGTTTCTCGACATATATCACGGATAACACGGTAAAGCAGTCCTTGGCGTAAGGGTAGGTTCGGATTTGCTTTTTTTTTTTATTAAAAACTGTTGCCGCTTGCATCCATGTTGCGTGCCTTGTTTTGAGGTTGAAAAACAGCAAGAAACTTTAACGATCAGCCAAGTCCTCGAGACTGCTGAAGGCTCGTCGATTTCCAAAAGCTTTTCCCGGAAATGAAGGTTTTCCCCCTACTATTTTCAACCATCGGAACAAAATTTCCAATTTTCAGTAGTTTCCGCAGTACGCGCCGTACGGCCGAAACGTTTTCCTCCCTTGAAAACTCTTTCGTAGCCGCCACCGTGGAAACCTCAGAGTTTTCCTTTTTCGATAAGGAGTGAACTTCTTCCAGGGTTTCTTTATCTTTTTTTTTCTTTTTTTTTTCGCGAAAACTTCTAACTTCCACAAGTATTTTTTTTAGGCATACAATGGGAAAAGAGTTGCATTGTTACATATTCTTCGTGAGTATTTACTATAACTAGATACCATAAATGGTTATTCAGGACTATCGCAAGCACCTGAAAATGGTTCTGTCCATTTGCTTTTACGTTAATTCTCATGGCAGAATTTGTCGTCGATCACTTGTATGTTGCATTGCACAATTTGACGTGAATATACGAATTAACGGAGTTTGAATGTCCCGCCAAATTTTCAGTAACTCGCGCCAATCTTTGCCGATAATATTATGTATATAAATTCATATATCACAGGTAGAATTTTTCTACGCACTTTGAGAATACGAATTTCGTAGCGCAGCATACCAAAAGATAGCATTTCGTATATATAGAAGCGCTTCGCCAAATAAAGCCGCTACATTCCTGCAATCTTTAAGCATCCTTGCCGTTTGTTCTCTGTGCCGCACAACACCCGGGAGTACAAGTTAGGAAAGATAGCAGTTTTGCACAAAAGAATGGGCCGGTTGCCAAATATGTATATTCCCTAGGAATTACCTAGTCCTTCTAGGTTTCTGTTGCAGCAACTCGGTCACCAAGCGAGTTCTCGAGAAAATTCGTACAGTAGCGCTCCGTGCGGCAGACTTTTGTACTACGAGTCACTCGCGACGTATAACATCGATTTATCGTACGAAAGATCGTAACGACAGCTGCTACTACAGTCTTCGTGTTTTCTCTGCTCCATTTATCTCTGTTTTTATTTACCGTTTGTTTCAGTGCTTCTCTTGATCCTTTTTTTTTCATTCGCGCTGTGAAAATCCACTACGGCGACGTTACAATATGTGCTTGACAGGGATAAACGCCATTTGGCCTTACTGTGAAACTGTTACGTGGGCAAAAACATCATTGAGTGCGACGATCCCTTCGTTGTGGTTATCTTTTTATTATCTTCTTATTTACGCCAAGGACTGTTACCTTAGCAATATTAAACGACACGAGAAGACTACGTCGATTCGGCAAAGCAGATCCGACGGGGTGAGTCTAATTAATGACTGTTTGAATTTGGTGATGACATCTTAACGGTATTCCTTTTAACGAATAATTCAGAGTATCTAGTTGACTGTTATTCGTGTGGAATCGACTTCTACTTCCCTTTTTATGTTTCGCTTGCGATTAATCCTCGTAATTAAAATGGCTGTAATTACAGATTTCTCTGGAGGCAAAAAATGTTTTATAATCTTATTGTTCGTGTTATTGTATTCTTATAAGCATTCTGTAGTTATGGTTGAGTCTCTCACGGTTTCTCCTAGCTTACGCCAGAACAGGGGTAGATTCACTTGAGCTTTATCATTTGTAAGGGGTACGAGAGAGGGAGAAATGCCATGGATTTTCAAAGTACATGATTGATATTTTGCTTAGCTTACATATATTCGCGTTAAGTAAGCTTCGAGAGACTGCTGTACTGATTTTTATTGTAATCGTTGATCTCATTGGAAATTCAATCCTTCATGTTACAAGGTGCTGGAGGTAAAATTAAAGCGAATATATTTCAATTAAATGATCGATAACTCGGACATAGTGGAATTACGGAACTCTCTCGGAGGAGGAGTTGCGCTTCGCGGTTCTGCTGGTGAGTAAAAGGAAAGTTCGAGAAATTTCCCAGGAATTACTAAACCCACCACCTACACGACCCTCGCTCGTGCGGAATTATCTTAATTTCACGCAAATGTTATCTCTTCTTGGCTGCGCTAATTCTTTCGCCGCTTAAAAATAGATTTGAGTTCTCCGGCACGATTTCACCGCAACGTTCGTAACGTTACTCGGTACGGTCGTTCGTATCAGGACGTTTCTGTAATTTTTTTTTTACCTCTTAGACGTTATCCAAGA